ATCAGTGTAAGAGACAAGGTATGAGCAAGCAGGGACAAAACCAGAATAGCCAAGCACAGACAAGATGCAACTAACAATGACATCAGGAACAACAGTCATTCTATAAACACAAAAATCTGTTCAGTTTTCATGAGAAGCTGGTCTACTACTAAGAGCAAGCAATACCATTAGATGATGCCACACCTCTAAAAGTATTTCAGTAAAAGTCTTCAATAAAAAGGCCAGCTGCAGTCAGGCAGCAAACATAAGTAAAAGTAGAACTGAGAACTGTTGTGTCAATTTGAAAATACCTAACTGAGGTAAAGATTTGGAACTCAATTGGTCTGATAACATTTGTTTGAGGATACTGTGAAAATGAAACCACATAATCCCAGAGTTGTAACTGTTGTTTTACGGATATTGGGTGAGGTTCTGAAAGACTAAACAATTTCTTGTGTTGTTCAGAAGCAGGAAAACTGAGAAATTAGTCTTCTTAATCCCAACAAACAGAAAAAATACTGGCAGAATATTTATATTTATGTATGTGTATACACACACACAATTTCCTAGAAGAAAACAAGGAGATGAGTAACAGCTGATTTGGATTCGTTATGAACAAATCACGTCAAAGCGATATTTTTCTTGCAATAGCAGAGTAACAGGACTTGTGTTCAGGGAGACATCGTATATTTTGACCTTTGTAAGGACTCTGTCACTGTTTCACATGTGCAATTTCTTAAGGAAAATAAGAAAGCACATGTTTAGAAGATGCTACTATACACCATATGAAAAACCAGTGGGAAAGCTATATTCAGAAAGCTATTCATTGTCAAAACGGTAAATGTATTGATGGGCATTTCTCAACAGTGTACTCCCCAACATTTTCTTTAATGAACAATTTGATAGAATAAAACCGCAAATTACATTTGCGGACGTGAGTTGCAGCAAGTCTACTGGAGGACAGGATGAGAATTCAAAATGGATTTAACAAATTGGAGAAGCAGTCTAGAAAGAATACAATTCAGGAAGTTTAAAAGCGAGGTTCCACAGTCCAACTGCAGAGGTGAGAAGAAACAACTGAATAGACAGTGGTTCTTCAGAAAATACTGAAATTTACATTGGCTAATACGCTTAAAGAGTTAACACTGTCATGCTTGTTTTGAAACAAACAGATATCCCATGGGGATGTGAAAAGTACTGGTCTGTAAAACACGTTGTTTTCTACTTACTACTGGAAAGGCTTCAACTGCATTACTGGATTTACTCTGAGGAAGACAGACAACTGAAGAGGAGAGGAACACACACAAAAAAAATCAGAGGTCTAGAAAAACATGAGTTATGGTAAAAGACAAAAATAATTGAGTTATTAAATCTGGAAGAAAAGAATTGCACATCATGGTAATCCAAATAACTGGAAGTTGTTGCAAGGAGGAAATAATATTCTGAATAAGAAATGACAGAATGCAGCTGCTTCAAAAAAGAACTGGAGAGTAGGCTGAATGCTGGGAATGCTTCTAAGGCCCAAAAATATGTTTGCCAAAGTTTTTAAGAGAAGGTTGGACAAACATCAGTTGAGAATGGTTTTGGTGTAGTTAAGCCTTCTTTGGGAAAAGAGAGTAGATCAGGTGACCAAAGCTCCTGCTCACACAATTTCCTATGGGTCTGTGATTACAAAGTAAAATGCAATCCCTTAACCTAGGAGATGTCCAAACACTAGGAGTTGCCACTTCAGCTTCAAAGCCAGAGCGGGATCTGAAAGTGATGCATACCATCTGTATGCAAATGAATTCTCTCCTGTCTTTTCGCGGGCCATCACACGGAGTTCCTCCCCTTACCCCCCGACTCCCTGCCTCCCCTTCACCTCCATCGCATTAGGCCGGGCAAGTGCAAAACATAGCATCTTTCTGCAAGTACACCGCCCTCTCCCAGTAACCTCTACACATTCTACCACCCTACCCTGCTGAGGAACACAGCTCCTGAAGCATAATGTCACATTCCCAAGTAGCACCTTGCTATTAGATCAGAGCCTCTAAATATGCAAAAGCCAACTTTCTGATTCAGGATCATACATGGGCTTCTAGGGGTACCAAGGTGAGGGTTACATCCTCTCCCTCCCACCTCCCCCACTTCCCCAAAGTAAGCCACATGCCAAGGAGAGAAAAATAAAAGCCCCTTACACTATCTAAAGTGACTTTACATCTCCACAGTAAATTATGCTAATTAATGTGAACTCAAAATGGCTCAGGGCTATTTTGAAGGATACAACTACTTCAGATCCTCTGCTCTGTTCTGAATTATTCCTAGGCTTGGTCAGAAATTGTCCACAGAAACATTACTGCATCAGAAAAGGCCTGTGCACCTAAGTGAAGTACTGCCGTGCTTCTACATTCCCAAAAACAATTAATTTAGAAAGAAAAAAAACCCTACTTTTGATCAAAGCACATGGTAAAATATTTTTTGAATTTCAGGTTTTAATTTGAGAAGGAAAAAAGGACTTAACCTAAATGTAATCAAGCTGTTTTTTGAAGAATAAAAATAGTTTCCAACAGATGTGTCCCATGTAGAAACTTCATATCTTTGAGATTTAAATTAATCAAATTTGGTTTACATTGATCAATGCATTTGAGAGTTATTAGGGAGAAACCAAACAGACAGTGAGACTGCACAGGTGTAATTTCTTTAAGAAGTCTTCTTAAAAGTTACAAATTAAAGAATATAAATAATGAATATTTCAGTAATATACTTCTTCTGTTAAACCAAAAACGTGAAGAATTTTTCCATACAGTCCAGCTGGCCAGAAAATTGTCCTTGATAAAGAATATCAAACAAAACACATATTTATCACATATACCATAGCCCACCTGGCTTGTCAGCTTGTGTTAAGTACCATTCTAAAACACGAACAAATGCAGCAAGAAATCAAGAGCTCAGTGCTTTCTAAAGTAACAGAACCAGATAAAGGAACCTAAATAAAATGTAACTGGTGGAGTAATGGGTACCCAATTGCATAGTATTTAAGGTAGCTTGATTATACTAGTCTGCTGACTGATACATATCAGAGGTACTATGAAAGGAGGGAAGAAATGCTCCTGGTTTAGATTATTTTTGTTGAAACTATTCTGGCATCATGATTTGGTACAGTGCCATTGGATGCATGTTTCTGTGAAGCAATTTAAAGATGGAAATTAGAGATAATTAAACAGAGAAAAAATAAGAAAGAAGTATCAACTTTGAGAGTATCTAAAATTCCAATGAAAAGTGCTCATTGAAAGCATGAATAAAACTATATTTTGAGGTAAAAAATCATAAGCTTCAAACACCAAAAGACATCAGGCAAGTTAAATATCTGGAATCCCACAAATTGATGGAAGTTACAGTTGCAGTAATAAGGCTCAAAACGCAACAAGTCTGCTGGTGCTTTCCATTTCTGACAAAATCAGAACTAAACAGGAACAGTTCTTCTTATTTGCCTTTTCAAAAAAAAATTTGACTGAACAGAGATGGCTATAAAAAACTATTTCTGGGAAAAATTAAACCCCACAGATTACCATCTCTTTGAAGCAGAAACTGTCTTTTACTATACACGTCTAGGCCAATGTATTGTGCCATGAGATTCCAATTCATAACAAAGGCTTCCAGGCATGCTATATCACAAAAAAGCGGTACATAATGGCAACTATTAAACACAGGAGCCATTGCATGTCCCTAAAAGTACAAGTTTAATAGGATTGCAAACAAAGAGACTTACCAGTCTACTGTGATTTTAAACAGCAGTTAAAATAGTCTAGTATTAACTTTGAACATTGCAAAATGTTAATACATTAGAAATTTACATTAGAGAAGACAGTCAACAGATTATAACAATATCTACCTATTCTAGTTAGATATTAGGTAAAAAATCTCAGCATGAGATCTGTTAAGGTCATAAAGTAGCCTATAGCTCAAGTTCTTGTTCCCAAAGCAGGCAAGCCTGGCAAATACTCTACAAGAACAACTTCTCAGGACAGGCCTAGGCATCTGCAAAGATGGGCTGCACTTTCAGGCCCTGAAAACACCACAGGGAGACACCTACACCTGTTCACTGCTTCACATCAGTAGAATATTTAGGGTTTTCCCCTCAAAAGGCTAAATTTGCTCTTTAGTATTTACAAGCTCACTTGACTGTTAAGCTCTTAAGTTTCTTTCACAGACTTTTCCGAGTTTCTAAGTTTACAAGCTCTGCAAAAATAGTGCAGAGTTTGTATTTTCTTTAAATTGATAGATTGCAAAATACGTATAAAGTATCCACAGAGACTCTGTCCCTCAACCAAAGCCATATTTATTTAAAGATGCTCATAAAATTCTGCTAGTCACATCTCAGAAAAGCTCCTATTTCTTGAATCAGACTGTTGGAAGGATAGTGTGGATAGTTTGCTCACATCCTCTGCCTGAAGACTCTGTAACCGTGAACTGAACTTCTGTATCTTGTGCAATTTTTGAATAGTTTTCACAGTCAGCATCAAATAATTTGCAAGTTAAATTCAGATATTTGTTCCGATATTAATTAGTTCTGCTTCTTCAAAGTAGTTCACAGGATGCGATTTCAGTCAAACCACCTCTTTTTTTCAAATTCAAATAACTCCAGTTGAGTAACAGATTGTGTATGGAACACACAACTTTACCAAATTGATTAATTTGGAAGATGTCAGATATTGTTTACATTATATGAAATTGTATGCTGATTATAATTGGAATATATGCAAGCTACAACAACACTTCATGTTTTCCAGATATCCATTTTGGCCTCTGCAGACAGCAGGTATGTTTTTACTAGTATTTACATAGGGTCAGAGAAAACCTTAAGTGTATGGCAGAAAACCTAAGAAACACAATTCTGAAGACAGAGAGAATATACTGCTTCTCACCCCTTCAGGGCATTTTCTTTTTGGCGGAACAGAACCACTGTTTGGCTGTGAACTGCCTCTCTACTCACGTATGTAAACTCTCACCAGCTTTCTCAAAAGCCTCTTACTTCCATGAACTGGCTCACCCAGGCTTTTTGCCGCCACCTTCTTTGCTTTGGGCATCAGGAATTAGTTTTTTGTGTTGAGTGAAACTTTCTACCTTTCCTGTTATATAATACAGGCACAGCAGGTTTGAACAGTCATAGCATTTCATCGTTTTCCTGAGAAAATTAGCTAAAAGAGAGAATCTTCATGAGTAAGAAGATCTTGGATTTCCTGGGAAACAGTGCAAGATGGAAGAGATCAAATTCTTTGGGAAGTGCAAGGTGAGTTTGGGTGGGGAGGGGTTAAAACTGAAGTAGGCTGAAGCAGGGTTACTCTGACTTACTAGTTGGGTTATATGGTATGCGCCCTGTTGCTTGCACTGGAACCAACTGAAATGTCTAGTAAGTGAGAGCAAAGATTAGGTATGTAGCACCCTACCAAAGGGTTAAACGAAAAAAGTTTTAAGCTTGCTTCTTTAATCCATCCCATGTATCTGTCCTTCCTTCACTTAAGTGTCCCCTTCAGGCCATTACACATCCCACTATAATGACCTTAGTCTAAGTTAAAATTCACTGTCTGTATAACTCTATTGATAGCTAAGGTACCGCTGTGAGAACCTGTACACATAAGATTAACATTGCATAGAATACAGTCTGCACTGGAGAGATGTACAATCTTTTTTGGTTTTTGTTTTCAACAACTCAAATGCAGGTATCCAATGAAATTGCCATGTTGAGAGAAAAAGATTTACTGAGATGAACTGGAAATACAAAAAAATAGTTCCCTCTCACTCCCGGAGCCACTCTGTCCCAATCAAATAAGCGACAAGAAAAAAATGTATTTGTAATGTTCAGTATCCTACAACTTTTAACTACTTGTGCTGCAAAGCAAGCACTGTTTACCCTCAATTCTTTAAACTACTACTGATCACAAGTACAAAAAAAAGAAACACTGTATTTTAACATTAATGTTACCTAAAACTTTGTCATGCAAAGTGTTCACTCAAGCCATTTTTAGATGTCCTTATAAAACAGGTTTTTCTGGTTTTGCTTACCTCTTGGGTTATCACCAATGATATTGGTTTTGCCATTCCAGTACCAGAGCAGCAGCGTTGCATCACGCGATCCCGAGAGAATGTAACAATTTCCTCCAATATATGACTCAGAACGAGCAAGACAAGTTACAACATCCCAGTGTCCAAATATTACTTGTATCAGTTTACCTGAAACACATGAAATTTATTGTTTTAAAACTACGCTTTTCTTCTAAGGCAAATTAAATACATTATAAAATATTTTAGAAATATTTTCTTTATTAAAAAAAGATTCCAAAAAGAACTGTAGTGGAGAGTAATAATTTTTTTTCTTGATTTGGTGGAAACTTACTTAGAAGTGCAGTAGTTGATACAAAAAACATTTACAGTTCATAAATATTATACTTTATTCAAAGGCAAATCATGCCAGAATTTTTTTTTTTTTATTCTGTAAGTTTACATTCGCTTGACAGACAGGAAACATGATAGGATTCTCTTTTAAGGCAAGTTTAAGGTAAGTTTACTGATGAAAGTAACAGTAAAAATGCAAATCTGCTGATGACTTGAGAAACAGAATCAGAAGCAGCTACAGAACATTTAGGACCATTTAGCAAAAAAAAAGCAGTGAGAGAGCATACATGTGCATACAGCATATGAAGCTTTTGAGTATCTCCTTAAACAGAAAAAAGGAGATTTTGATGAAAAATTACTCTTGTACCCAGGTTTTTCCAACACCATTTAAACACTTGCCAATTATTTCAATCATCAGCATCCTTCCCTTTCAAGAATTTCTGTCATGTTCAAAAAACCTCTGCAGACAGACCTGGGAAAAACTCTCTTACCTACCATGTGTTGGACAAATGCTTACACCACTGATAAGAGACATAAATGTTAAAAAGAAAGGAAAGCCTAGACAGTCAAAAATGTGCCATTCAAGAGTCTGTATAAACTTGAATATGACTATTACCTTTTAACCTTAATAAACACGACAATATTTTCAGAAAAATGTAAATTTGGATGCTTAGGCATAGTGGATTTGCATGTGGAAGAGGAAACACATGTAAGGTGACCCACAGAAGGTCTCTACGAAACCACCCCTGACAGAGGCTGGCTCCTACACAGCAAACACGTCATGTGTCCTGCTGGTTTCTGGATCTGCCAGCAGCATACATGATCCTATGAAATGAGAATGTAAGCACTAAAATCCATCTCACTGGATTTGCTCTAGCCTATCAACTGCAGATCTCGCAGAGACAGGACAAAAGATACACACACACACACACACACACACATTTCTTATCCGCCTTCTTGGCCTATTCAGGTAACACGGGCCAGATCAAATTCTGCATCCAATGACACAAGGAAGTGTGATGTGTGATGCCATTAATGTGTGACCTCAGTTTCCTCAGCCCAAATGACCATGCATCCATTTGTGCTTTGGGAGGAATAAAGAATAAGAAAGAACAGAAGGGGAAAAGAGTGATGGCTTTGGAAGCATCAACAACACAGGCCAGAAAAGAAATGGGAAATGGTAACTACTGCACCTGAAATAAAATGTAGTGGAAAGTAACATGACAAGTAGTAACACAAATCAGTGCTGAGACTCAAGTTTAGCACATCTCAGCAATATATTTTGGTGCATGAATTAAAAACGATTAGTCAATCATATAATGTGGCTAGTAGGACACATTTCATAGTCCTCTTTCTACACAGTACAAAGGCATTGTATTCATATCCAGCCACTAAATAACACTAACAGTAACAAAAGACAAGGGTGTGGTTCTGAGGAAAGAAGAAAAATAATGTTAACAGCTGCTTTATAACAGAAGATCAAAAAGGTAGTTGCATTAAAGTGGAGAAAACTAGAAAAAAACAAGAGAAAGGTATCTACAAAAAAGGGGAATTACTTTAGTTCATTAAGAAAAAATAGAATAACATGATGCAATTTAAAGGAAACCTGTACATTGGATTTAAAACACTGACAAAACTTATTAGGCAAGTAAAATCCTCCACGAGAAACTGTGAAACATGAGCCTTTTCTGACTGGAAGGGGTAAAACCCTGGAAGGCACACCAAGTGTGCAGACCTACCTTGTGTCAGAAAGGAGAATAACTGAGGGATCAAGTCTTTCACTTACCTCTGTGAGTCTGTAATAGTGTTCTATCATGGTCACCTCTGCACACCAGGGCTCTAATTTGTGCCACAGGGTCACCTAACTGTCTCAGATGCTGACCAGTCAACAGATTTAGTCAGAAAAAGTTACTGAACCTCACAGCTAGGAGCAGTGAAACACTCACAGACTACATAACCTCATTTTGGAAATATGTAAAACCATCTTAGCAAGTGTAGGTTTTTCCCTGAAAATTCAGGTTGTCAATTACATGGTTTAGAATTGAGAATAATTTACTTACGTGATACATTTTTGAGTTGTGTAGCCATAGGTACTGAACTACCTGAGGTGATTTATACTCTTCGCACACAAGTTTATGCTATAAACATTGCTGAGTTATAGAGACCTCTCTTTCAATTATGTTCCATGTTTATAGGTTCTGTTCCAGAAAACAAACATTTTTCAAGGCTATTTGTTTGACAGTTGTTCGTGTAGTTGCACTGCCTTGTTAGTTTTACTTTCTTACTGTGCTAAGGTTCAATCAATGCTATCAAAACAAGAAACAAGCTTTTGCTCTTTCATATTAGTAAAAAAACCCACCCTTAATCTCACAAGAGTTCCTCAACTTTTTTGTTTGCTTCCTTTAACATGAGTTGTCCTCTCTATAAAGTAATATCAAACTTTACCATATGCACTCAGATATCCCTTTTTGACAGAAGAAATTTTCTAGTTAATGTTTTATTTGACAGCTGTGCTATGAATAATTAAAAGAAAAATGAGACTCAAGTCTCTGCACTACTGAATCTAAAACGCTGTCTAGAAATCATTCCCATTGCTGGAGGAAGGTTTTATTGTGCTTCTGCTATGCTAGCTGTGCTGAGAACCCATGATTTATGTGAAAATTTTTTCCTGTTAAAAAAACCCAAACAAACCCAAAATCTAACAGGAAAAAGGTTCCCTTTTTATGTAAGTGCTAAAATATAATTGAACGCAACACTTGTGATCACTTGCCATTATGCATTATTGATCACATCATCTTTTTCCCTTGCTGTTCTGCTGATTTCAGACTATTTCGCTATTATATTATAATTCAAAGCAAAACAAACTATATCTGAATTAACTTGATTTAAGCTAGAGTGGCTATATCGACAAACAGGAGACACACAGAACACACAATTCTTCTGCAACTGTTTTGACAACTGCATTTTGGTTTATACTATAATTAGCTATGGTAGTAACAAGATGCCTGGTGTACCTGACTTTACACACAGAGGACATAACTTAATGAGATATTTGTAGTCTAGATTAATAGAGGACAAAGCCACCAAAATGATACAAGTTCTTTCCATAGGTGTAAAGTAAAATATATCCTTTGACATAAAAGAATTAGTTCTCTGTTCACATAAATAAAGAATATACACTGAATATTTATTCCTGCCAGCCAACTTTTCTGAAGATCTGCTTTAATTTCACAGTTTTATGTAAATTTATTTTCATCAATGAGAAAATTAAGCTAAAGAGTCTAACAAGATGTCTGTATAATGAACAGGAAGTCAATATCAACTAAATGGAACTTCTCATTTATACTTAAGGTTTTAAAATGGCAAAAAATCACAGATATGCTAAAATATGCCATTAGAGTTAGTCTTAACAGATTTTCACAAAAGACCATCCTGTTTTGTTAAACATTTTGGTTTTCCAAGTGTGAAAAACACTATTAAATAATATATTTAAGAAATTAAAACAAATATGTAGGATATTCCCTAGGGATTAATAACCTACTTGAAAGCTTGATGGTGCACACACACATTAACCACACTGGGTCATTAATCCCAAAGAAGTACTTTGCAGTGAAGTCGCTATTCCCATTATAAGATAATGGGAGGGAAAAAAATCATAGCTATTTTTTTCTGGGGCTCCATGGCTTTTAAATTTCTGTAGCTCTTACATTGGAAGATTCTTTTCTATTTAGCACGACACATGCATGACTTCAACCGTTTGGATATATGCCAGCTGACAGACTAATTTAACTTCTGCCTATTACATCAATCAGTTTATGTTATATGAAAGAATTCAGTGGCTCCAAATCAATTTTTCTATTATAGCATAGCTTTCTAAGGCTTTCGTAAGTATTCTTTCACCAGATTTCAAGACTTCACTTCTGTTCTTATTCTGTGGTGCTTGCCTGTATTTTCTCAAAAAAAATTCTCTGGTGCTGAAAATCAACCACAGTTCAATTCAAGTATAAGAACAATTAATTCTCCTGATATGCAAAGCTTCACAAAACTCATTTACTTGTGGAAACTACAGTGTAAGAACAAGCATGCCTGTCCTATAGATTTGAAGTGTGATGCTATGGCTAAACAAAAGGTCCATGTCTTACATTTGCCATCATTCCACAAAAACAATAGCATACAATAATCAGTAGCAATAGGTAAGAAAAGACTTGACAAATGTTATTAATAGCGGAATAAATACATACTCCACTTTCTTCCCCTGCTCCCCATTCTTTCTTTATTTGAAACAGTAGGTTGACAATGAACAGAAAAATAAAAGATTTTTTAATTTTAGCCTAAAAGAGGCTATTCCCATGTTTTAAAAATACCTTACCTGAGTCGGTAGAATAAACTCGGAAACTCTTGTCCCAGAAGCCACAGACCAAGATGTAACGATTATCAGATGTGATGACAAAACACTGGGAATGTACCTGAATGCTTTGGTCTAAAAGGTCAGTGATTTGCCTTCTGTGCATACCTGTACTGCTGGCTGAACAGAAAGACACACAAATCCAGAAATTTTAGCATCCACATTCACAGAACAAAAGCACATTTTAGAAACTTACGTTCACACCAAAACTATTCCTCACTGCTGCTACTTGGTTTTTGTGGCAGGGACATTCTCTTTCTACTTTTACTGTAAAATACTCATTACACTTCTGGGAATAATGATAATTCCTTGTAGTATATATTCTAAAATAGAAGAAATCCCTTCTTTAAGCCAAATGCAGCTGACAAATATACATGAAAGATTGCAAAAAGGAATGATACATAAAAATGTAATAAGCTTCCTTCCTCCATTCTTCTAGTATAGGAAATTAAAAATCAAGAAACAAATTAAGGTAATGTAATTATAAGACAGTACATATACATATATGCTATAAAGTGGCTCAAAAGCAGCAGACAACAGAATTATGATTTCAAAATCATACACAAGTTGTATTTCATTGCAAGCATTGTAATTTAAAAAAAGAATAACTGCAACAAACTTCTCTAACATTCCACACTTTTTTGAGCATTGCACAAAAATTTACCAGTTTATCTCCACAATCTTGTTTAGGGTCGAGAGAAAATATTTACCTTACTTTGATCACCTGCTGCTTTATTTGCCCAGATAACCTTGCATTGTGAGCCCACAGAATGGACAGGAATCAATTAGTGAACACATTTTTCATATTATCTTCTGTCCTTATTAATCGATGTATGTGCATATATATACATATATGGGTCCCTATAGATACATATCATGAAAATCCTACACTATAGGAAAACTTCTAATGTGCTTTGTTCCCAAGGGAACCTGACTCCCACCCCAGGCAAGTAAGTTCTCCTGGGCCTGGGTTTGTCTGCCAGCTGTTCAGAGCACCACTACTTCCATTCCAGGTAGTCCCGCGAACCTGTCTCTGTCCCGGTCTTGTGCTCTTCTTTACTCTTTGTTCTGTAACTTCTTTCCTTTCTTACAGGCTAGCTATCCCCTAAGCCTTGGGCTTATTCCATTTACTCCACATCAAATCCTTTATTTATTTATGCTTTCGCTATGTTTAAAATGTTGAAACTGTCTTGCCCATATGGATAGCAAATAGTTTAGCAAGGTATCGCCACTTGCTTTGAAAGTAACACATAACAGGGCCTTGACCGCTGTTGGGACCACTTAAAGAGTAACAACAACGCATTATAAATGCACAGTGAAGCATCCTGTATGAAAAAATAATGGCAAATAAACCCTCAAAAAAACATGTAGATGGACACATTCAGCGTGGATAAGACCTTCAAAAAACGTCACCTCAAAAAGAGGTCTAGAATATATGTCATATCAGACACTGCTGGTTTACATCAGCTAACCATAAAAGTGTAATTTTGTGGTCCTCTTAGGTGCCATATCTAGGTAAATGTGTCTAGCCACAATTAAAAACCTTTAATATTATCTACATAATTACTTGGTAGTACCCAATGATGCTATTTAACAGTGACAAAGCAAGCTTTAAACCTTTCAAACTACGTCCAATGTAATCACAAGGCTAATTTGAGATCTATTGTATGCAGAAAATATTAAACCATTTTTCAGAACTGTGAACATTAATTTTAAAGGTGTTTATACCAAACAAAAATCAAAGTATTTTGTAAATTACAGGCAAGCTTGAAAGTGGAATTATAATTTTTAAACTACGAAAAATGCAAAGGAAAATAAAACTTTTATTTCCTTCATAATGTTCTTCACAATACACAGAAAAAACACCAGACAGGCCCAATGTGATTTTGGTATTTTTGCCGTGATGTTTATTTATATTTTTAAGATCTACTTGATAGCAGGTTTTAAAGCACAACATACATTTCCTGTTTCAAACATTTTTTGGATCAAATCTATTTTAGGAAGGAAAGGAGAGTTACAGCACATGTCCTCCTCACTATAAATTGTAAGTATTGCATTATTCAGATAGGAATTGATTTTTAAAACTTTGTAAAAACATTTCAATTTGATCAGCTCTATAAAATGGTTTAATATGCCCACACTGATCCTGATTTAATTATTATAGAGCTTATCCAGCAAAATGGCCACACAGCAACAGTCTGTATCTACAGACCAATACAATGCAGTTCCTACAGTGATACGCATATTGGGTTTGAAATTAATTCTCATTGGCTGACAGACCTGTCATTCTAACCTAGCCAGCAAAGTTCATTTTTGCTCTGACTTCACCATGCTGTTATAATTGGCCTCTTCACTTCTTTTTCACTTAAACTACCATCCTGAAATGGACAGTTTTAAAAAACAGAGCTAGGTTTGACATCTAATAGAATAGGGGTGGGGTGTCCATTTACCATGCTCCTGAATTATAGTCCAAGTATGTACTCCCCAAAGTTGGGTCTGTAATGAAAGACCTGACCAAACTCTAACCATGCTAATAGAAAAACCAGCTCTACATACGCTAATAAACCTCTATAATGAAAAGTCACGAATTGAATCTATTACACTGAGTCATTAAATAAGAGTGAGATTCCTCCACCCCTTTTTAATAAAAGAAAAACATACACAAAGTTAACTAGTGATGCTGATCAAAAGATGCAATACTCCTGAAAAATGAATACTAGTATCTCAATACTAAAACAGAGTGGGCAATATATTTCAACTTTGAAACCGCTTTGCAATTACACATTAATCCCCTCAGCCTGAACAGCAGGTTTATGAAGAAAGGATTGATCTCCTTTAATGATGAAACCCTGGCACCACGGTTTTATTTTTCACAACACGGTGCAGTTAAGAACCCCACCGTTATTATGAAAATTTCCTCAGCAAAGGAGCTCCATCACATTACCAGTGCACCAATTCATCATAACATGCCTCGCTCCTGCTCATCAACAAGTCTGAGTGATGAAAAGATCCAATATTATCCTGACAGTACTTCATGCACATTCTCAATCACACATTATTACAGCATCCATATTAATTTTCACTGACACGCGTCCTAGGCCTGTTCAAATTAGGCAAACCAACGAGGGGGAGTTGATGAAATACCAGCATAGCCACAGCTCATTGCATTCCAATTTGCATGCAAATGGTTTATCAGGAAAATTCCATTCCCAGCAACCAGCAAGTGAAAAACAACCGTAATCTACACTTCAGGGCCACCATACAGAGTTTAATGAATCGCAAAGAGAGAAGGAAGTGACAGACCTATGAGAGGATCGATTTCCACTGGCAGCTGGTAAGGCTGGTCTTGTACAGCACCTTGATGAGCTGGAATTCAGGAAAGAAGACTTTAAAACTCTGCATTTTTTTAATACCTGAAGCCATATACATTTTATAAATCAAAGCTACATTCTTCTTTTTTCACTATTCAAGATTCTTCTGCATCAATTGAATTAACAAAAAAAAAATCCAGGTGCTTTCGTGGGCTGCTTATTAAACATCTATTTCAGATTAGTGCTATCCTGAATGTATGCCATCAGCAGCAGCTCCAGTCCTGAGCCATAAGCTCTAGCAGATGCTTTGCTGGCAACCTCTCCTGTCGCAACAAAACAAAATTAAGTGGTAAAATGCACTGAAAACAAAATGTGACAACCATCTGCTGACTGTAGCAAACACTATTTTCCTCTTTACTTTTTAAAGCACTGCTTTGAACAAGTAAAGCACAAAGGATATTTCTTTTAAAAAGTCAATTTATGATGCAGACAGGGAAATCTCATAGTCGTTCAGTATTTAAGGATTCATCCATCACCAAAAACCATTTATGTGCAAGTTTGTATAGAAGTTAATACATAATTCTGCCGACCTACATTTCATCTGTGAACCTGGTACACCAGCGAAATGTTTATCTCCTGAATTTTCCTTCAGTGTTAAAAAAAGCACCTTTTTTTTTCCCCCGCATTTTTTCCACTAAAAACAAGCAAGCAAACTCCCCCTGGCCCCAAACAGCTCACAAGACATACTTGGAAGTGAAAAAAAAAAGGCTGAATACTTACACCTATGATTCTCCTATCTACCATCCACAGCTTAACATAAAAACTAGTATCAATAGAAGGGTTTCATAAGTAATTGTGAAGTCAAAGTTCTGCTGCAATGAAACTCCAGCACAGAACAAAACATGAAATCCACGTGACAAAACGGAGGCTCCCTGTTGGGTACCGGTGCCATTAGATGTTAGCAAAGCCACCAAGCTCATGTACAAAAGCAGCAATGAGATTTTTAATTACAGATCAGTGACAACTGGTCACTTCACAATTTAACTTTTTTACCATGATGCCTCATTAGTAAAGACAGTGCCAAGCCCACAGCAAGAGATAAGGAGTAGTAATGATTCCTGCCCTCTAATCCTAGCAGATCCCTTTTTGGCAACAATAGTGAAGGCTAGTCTCAGGAGTCCACATCCAGATACATCTTAGTACTCTATTAACATCCTGCAGCTGACGAGTGTGCTCTCAAAGAGGCGGAGTGAGGTGGGTTTTTGCTGGGCTTTGTTTTGGTTGTTTGGCTTTTGTCTGTCTTGAACTGTAGGTTTTCTCAAGCTCTCTGTAAAGGCAAGACAAGTGTAAAATGCCTCTAAATGAAAAAATAGTGACTCAAAAGCACAGCTTACTGTTCTCCCTTTCAGAGGTGAGGGAAAAACCAAAATCTGAAGGTTTTGTTCAACTCAAAATAGTTGATTACTACACTCAACAACTGGTTGCTCACTCACAGATCATCAACCAGCAGACTTATGAGGAAACCAAAATCAACTCCTACGACTTTAGAACCTCTTCTTTTCCAGTGACTGTTGTATATAGCCCCTGACTGTTGTAAATAGCCACAAAGGCTATTGTAAATAGCCACAAAGGCTATTTTTTAAAAGCCTTGAATATTATATGCACAAGGTCACACTTTCAAGGTATGAGAGGATATTGCCATCCTCCTTTCACACAAATGTCAAGAGCCTTGTAAATAGTTCTTGCTCTCAACTTATCTCAATAAGGCTCCCTTCCCCCTTTTCTTTTTAAGCATTTCTTGGGTGGGTGAAATAATACATAGATGTTTCTATTTGTATAATGTTGAGAGGTAATTTGTAAGATTTAGGAAAAAGTGTGGGAGTCATCTGGCTTTTTTCAAAATGTAATTAAGGACCATGCATCCAGACTTTGTAGTAGGAATTTCAGTGATGTGAGTATTACTCTGGTGCAAATATCTTCTACTTAAGTTATTTGAGTAGAAGCTCTTTGCTTCCCTTTCTTGCAAAGCCTTTGACCAGATTTACTCCATAGCACTGAAATAAACTGCCTTTCACGGCTTGGTCCTGAGACTGTCAATAGTCAGTAAAAGGAGGATGAGTGCCTTTAAGATTAGAGAACATTAGAATTGAAAACAGGATGACTATATTCTCAAGTCCAACACATTTTTAAAGGAAAATTAATTTGATTGATTGCTATGCAAATGGATATATTGTTTTCCTTTCATATTGACAAACACCTTTTCTATTGATAAGCACCTAATAACTTTGGGATGTTTCAGTTACAGAAGATACAGACTTCACACATATTTCATCTACTTCTCATTGAGTGGCTTTAACATCAGAATATGGCGTTCATAATCAACTAGAAAAAGATAGCCTGAAATATTTTCTGCTATCTTTTATGCAAGTTCTACATGCTTTAAAACTTGTCTTTGACATGACATGGTTCAGCTTGCATAGTGCCTGATGGCCTGGAAAGCAATATATTTTTGTTACAAACCTTTCGTGTGCTACATATCTTACTATACAATCGTTCAGATTACCTTTTCCAGGAGAAACTAAGTCCACATGTGAAGAGCATGCTGTGGCAGTGAACTGGACTTGATCTTCACGCTTTAAATTTAAAAAAGTTCTGCAGCAAATTTTGAAACAGGCAACAGAAGTACTGCTTGATGGCAGCGGTTTCTTAGGCTACTTAGTTTAATTTACTTACCAGGAAGATTATGCCACTTGTTTACAGCAAATAGCCTATTTGCAGTAACTGTGATCACAGCAGGAGTGGCCAGACCAGGCTGGGTGTTGGCTGCTACATGAGTGACAGGGGAGTTGGATGGGAACTTTAGAACCATGATAACATCCTGTTGAGCTTGGTCTGTGAACATCAACGGACTCTGCAGGAGGAGATACTGTTGAGTGCACACAACAAGAACCCAAATACACAGGAAAAGAAAACATGGGGAGGAGAAAAGACGACAAGACAAGAGAAGGAAGATTGGATTAAAACACACAAGATCCAACAGCAGCTGCAGTGAAAAGCAAATGCAGTAATAGTGGACAGGATTGTGGAAGCAACCATTTTAGGCAGAAAAACCTTCATGTACACTATTAATTTGAGGGTCTTATTGAACACAGGTTGTCTATATACAAACTTTGCTACAGATCACAGCAGATCAAAAGTTTCCAATCACCTATCTCTGGCAAAAGAATTCGCTTTCCTATCTGCAGAGATACTATGTCGGGGGGGGGGGGGGGGACAGAGACCGGAAGAAATTCCTGCTCCCAGAGATTGTCTCAAGTTGCATTATATTGGCAGACTGCAATTCTTTACAAGCCAGATGAAAGCACATTAAAATAAACAGATACACACATACACTAGATATATGTTCTGTATATATTTCTGGTGTACAAAAATAAGATTTATGAATGCAAAGTAGAAGACTTCACTGCAAATGTGTTTCAAAGGACAAACATAATTAAATGCAGTTGTAAAGAATATAAAGTAGATGTGATTACAGACACTATCCTGCATTGTTCCTAGAAATACTAAAGGGAGGAAATGAATCCAGACTCTCATCTTCAACATAATGTTTTTAGGTTTAAGTTTTTTAATTTAGTAAGTTGAAAAGTTCAGTAGCTTTTTAACTAAGCTCTCTAACAATACTGCAAATGTTGAAACAAAATATTGAGGACCTTAGATCCGGATATCAAACATAACAAGGAAAAGCAAAACTTACTGGATTTGTGATTGTGTGGTGCACTAAAAGATGAGAACTGCATTAAGATGTAGAAGCACAACCACCCTACTCACCAGTAGCCATATCGCTCTAGGATTTGTAATTTTCTAATAACTGAATTAGAACACTAATGAAGTGTTCTTGGCTATTTTCCACCTGCAATATTTCATTACATATATGCGTACATAAGTGCATACATTTAATGTATATTTATACAGAACTAATAAAAAAATCAAATATATTTGCATTTTTATTATCACTCCTTTTTAAAAAGTTATTAAGAGTACTTAGAAAAACATATTGCTCTATGAAATCCTATTTACAGTCTTTGCATAAAGGTGTAAATAAAAGCAACTAATAAGCTATCCAGACACCCTTCTGAGCAAGTGGCTAAAAGCCAATCAATATTATAAGTTAATCCTCCCTGGATGCTCATTCAATTAAAGGTGTCAGTAATGCCTCATCTGATGTGGCCTCAATTAAATCCAGCTATCTGATGGTTGAAAACACAAGGGGATACAGCAACAGCAGCAAAACCAGACAAATAGGCAGCCTTCGTGTGACTGCTAATTACTACACCTGGTGTATATTATGGCTCGTACACTTAACACAGCACGTGGTACCTTTCAATTCGGCTGTATTCATGCATACATGCACACACACACATGAAACCAGAAAACTCAGTAAATACTACAACTAGGAATAACTCAAAATTGTGACAGGAAAAACATCCTTACTCTATTTCAGCTCCAGGAATACTACTTTTAAAACCACTTAATAGAGTGCTATTATAAAATCATGTACTAATAACTGCAAAACTGGTCAAAGCAAATGGAGAACTAAGGGGCTTTTTTCTGTTTGTACCTCAGCCCCAAAAAAATACAGGAGTTAGAAACAGTTAACTTCTTAGAATTTAACTTCTTCTGTTACATACTACATCTTTACTAATTCAGTGTTATGAAAAATATTATGACAAAATCACACAAACTGCTTCCTGGCATCAAATTTATTTATATAACAATGAGTCTGACAAACACGTCAACCATCAGCTTCTCAAGATCCTCCTCTTCTTCCTGAAACAAATCCTTTTAAATTAGGGCAACTGCCTAGTGCATGGCACCATGACAGACAGACACACATATGGCGTGTAGCTGTATGATGAGGGATTTGGGCTCCCCAGCATCCCTGCTAAGAGGGCGCTTCCGAAAGAGAGCTACGTGGGAGGTGCAATGGGCCAGCAGACGACAAATCAGTACAATCAGCTCTGTCCATCCAGTACATGGGTTCCCAGGGCAGAAGCATGTCTGCAGCACAGCTGTCAGTGTAGTATGTACTGGCTGGAGAAAGGGTGGTAGGGACTGGGGGGACACTCAGCTGAGCAAGTCTCACATAAAACACATGACATTTGAGAAAGGCTAGTAGCTCAATTTGACAAGAAAGTTTACATTTCTTAGACTCCTACATCACAAGGTTTGTATGCTACTTTGGAATCACTGAAGATTTTTGTGTAACTTTTCTAAAATCTTTTGGACCTCAGATATGTTTTTAATCTAATAAACTTAGTCTGCTTGAGTAGGACATACATCTTACAGAACATGCAAGAAAATGTGTTTTTTTATATTTCAGTGTAAAATGTCCACCTTAACAATAAGGGAATGTAACCGTTTGAAAAACTCGTGAATTAGCAGAGTATTTGCTCCACTTGTCACAGTATCATTTAACATACCTAGTTCTGGATCTATGACAACACAAATAATATTTTAGACCCAAGGACTGCACACAACATGATATGGAAAGTAGTCAGTAATAAAATAAAAGTTTGTATAATAAAATTATATTAGACACAAGTAGAGGTAAAAGGGAAAGCATGTTAATGCTCACTGTCTGGATTTTATCACCCTAGCTTTACTGCAAAACACATTTAGTCACATTCTTTGCTATGTGAGTTTCAGCTCATGAATTCCTAGTAATCCTGGTTTTAGGGGAAAACCTATGCCTGGGGGAAAAGACAAGGAAGTTCCACCTCCTAAATCCATGCTTCTTGAAGAATCTGCCAAAGATTAACTAAATTGTCTCCATGAAGACTGGCTCTCACCTGTACAGGTATGGTATTAACAAAATCAACTGATGAAGCGTACTTAAATTACACTAACAGAAAAGCTCTGTACTAGAAATCAATACAATACTTTCAGCAATAAATAAAATAATAGTTAAGCACTACATACACTCCCAGTCCTACAAATCGTAACTCATGTGCTGTTTTTAATAACACAATTCCACACCCACATAAAATAAAAGTGAAGTGGCTGGTTCTGTAACATTAAGATAGCAAAGGAAGTGAACAAAACGGCAGGTCACAAAGAGTTAACATGGTACTTACCACTTGCATGGCAGAACTTCTTGGAGGATGTGGTTCTATGAGCAGTTGGGAAGGGGTCTGTCCAAAACTTCGTATTTGAGCTTCAACAGCCTGGAAAAGGCACAGGCAGGTTTGCATGTTAAGAGGTGCTAATTACAGGCAATAGAACCATAACTGTCACCTGAAAATGTCATTCCACACTTCTGGCTTGTTTCATGTTGAAAATCAACCCCGTGTGTTCACTGTGGGCCTAAGTGCTTGGCACTGGTACTAAGAATGAGGTAATCATTTTTGTACTGTGGATGCTATTTCCATGAGAAACTCTGCAAAACCTCATCCTGCTCAATGATATTAAACAGAAACAAGCTATTATAATCAGAAACCCCCTTTATTGGCTCCATTTTTGCTCTCTAACACTGCCTTATCCTGTTTGTATCATAACTCAGAAACAAAATTTTTAAAAAGCTTCTATAGGTATTAAGAGTGTTCTACTTTCTATTTAAACTCAATCGCTTAGTTTCACAGCAATAACTACAATGAAAGCGACACCGAGCTTTTTTCTTATTTTCATTTCTACTAAAAAAGAGAAAACAGCTTTAGGACTCATTACCAACAGCAAGACTAATACTAAATGCAGCTAAAGGAGAACATGAAGATATGATGCAACAATTTCTTTAAAAAAGTTTCTCTGAATCTTCAGCAACATGCTTTATCACTTTCTTGATAGGGCATACATGAAAATAAATGCTTAGTGATTTCTTAAAAATAACTATTCTGAAATGTGTGAATTTAGACCTCTTGCCTAGGCACGTCCAACTAGTTTTCTATGTTGCCATCTATTGGGTCACTGGCTTAAAAGACAGAATCAAGCAGCCAAAATTCAACAAGTTGTTTCTTGTCAGCCATGCCCCTGAAACAGAAACAGGCTGATATTACAGAAAATTCTAAATCATTCTGTTTAGATTAAATCTTTCATTGTGACCTAAATTAAGTAAAAGTATCTTGCATTTGCTGTGGGCTAACAGACTGCATATGGGCCGATACATTGGTTTCTCTGTTGCACGATGCACTGAGCCCTACATTCTCAAGTGTCAAGTGGTGCTGAGTACCTAAGGTGAGCCATTAGCAAGTCCTACTTTCAAAAGGAGTCCTGAAAACTAGGCCCTTCAAAAAAGTGTTTTAAATTAGATGTTTGAATGCTAAAACACAAAGCCAAGAGTGCCACTTTTTAGCTATTAGAATACCATGTTTTTCTCTCAGATATTCTTCTTTTTTGTGGTTCAACATACCTTGAGGATAACAATAAAGATTATTACTAGGACACACAATATTCTCCTGTTACAGAAATAACAAAACCAGAAGCAGAATGCACCTAAGGCCTTAAGATCATCAAAAATAATCACCCTCTGATAGTAAACATGCCATCCAAAACACCTGACCTTCTTATATTTGGCAGGGCTTTTGAAACATCTGAACTCACCAGAACAGGAGTTGCAGTTACTCTGTGGACAGATTATAACTCTCTTGCCCACTCTGGGAAGCTCCTTAATCTTCAAAGAACTGGTGAATAAGTAAGTTTATCCTAAAGTTGGCTGAAATCTGACATACAAACACTGTGATTCAATGTGTACTTTTTGAGGAACAGCAATATCAGATTTGTGAAACACTAAAGCTCAGTAAGACCATCAGAGTCCCCTTCCTAGTGATGAGACGTGCTACATTAAAATTCAAATCTGGGTTTCTGTGACTTGAGATATCAAGGGAATCACAAGGGCATAGAATCTGAGGTCCTTTAAGACATGAGGCATTAACAAAGCAACAGCATACTAGTCAGCACCTCTAACCTCTCCATAAAAATCCATTAGTTTCAAACCATCCAGATTAAAAAGATTTGCCTACATTTACTTGCAGACTGACTGGAACATGTTTACTAGCAAATGGGCATTCTGCATTGCATTGAGGGTAGAACCAGAACAACATAGGAGGTGCAGAATGGAGACAGTCCTGGATGTCAGTTATTCTGTGCTTGATAAAATCTTTAGGGCAAATCTACAGCCTACAAGATCTACTTTTTATTTCCTATAAAATATATATCCAATATATTATTCAAAATTAACAGCACAGCAATATATTATTCAAAATTAACAGCACAGCAATATATTATTCAAAATTAACAGCACAAGTCCCACGCATTTCTTTTAGAGCTGAAAATAGAATAAATAAAATGAGGAAATAATAAGCTTCAGATTTGTTAACTTCCTTGTATATTGACTTCAGATCAATATAGAAACTTGTATTCCCAAATAGCCTGCATTCAGTGTTTAATGGGAGTCAGAATTTTGTCTTACCCAGGAAATCTGGTATGTCCTTTAAATCCTAACGCTACCTCTACATCTATACTCTCTTACATAGTGCCAGTACTAAGAAAGGGAAAATTAACCACAAGATACCACACACTGATGCAGAGCGTTTCAAATACTTCAAACACATTCATCGTAGCAAGAGTCCAAACTGAGGCAGAACAAAAATTAGACGTTATAATTGTTTTAATCAATGAAAGACCAGCAGTGAAATGCTATTTTCCACAGTCCACATGTCAGAGGAACTCACCACCTCCCAGCAAAATAAAAACTGGTAGAGACACAGTTATGATTCCACTGCTTACTCACACACATGATGCTCATCATTATCACACTCCTAGACTACACAACAGCAGAACAGCTATTTCTCTCCCACCCACCCTCAATGCAGGTTAATAACCCTATGGGATATTAAAAATAAGCATAAAATATCCTACTCAATCCACAAGTAGATAGTCACTGCCTGTTTTCACATAGTGTTCCGTCAGAACTGGTGAAACCGCTGACCAATGGAACAATGATTTTGCCAAAGCCTGACTTAGAGGACCACAAATTCTCTGTTTTCAGTATTTAACAGGCAATTTCTACATCCATGTTTATGATCTAGCTTGAATTTGGGATTTATAGCTCCTGCGCAAACAAGTCTTTTAGACTCATTACGTTCCACCTGGTCCTTCCAAAAAATATGAGAGCCTACATTTCCAGCACTACAGTAGCTCCCAACACAATCTTTCAGTTTTGGCCAATAGAACCAGGAAAAACCTACATTCAGATCATGCCCTACCACAGGTAACGAGGTTTCATAAAACATCAAAACTGTAAATAGAGTAAAAGCACAGATATTGGCATCTGTATGCCCTCTTTACTGACATCTTCAGAGAGCCAAAAGAAATTTGAAAAACTGTTGAGTAAAGGCAACAACACTTGGACAATTACATTTAGACATAGTGGCCAGACTTCAGCATAAAAACCTTTTGCATTCCTTCTAATTAGCAGGAAAAAATGTAAGTATTTCCTTATTTAGCTTCAAAATTTCTTAATTATGACCAAGAGAGTGTACCAGCAACCCCAAATGATTCCCTCCTTTTCCCAGATTGTATTCAAAGTCACTCCAGATGTCAACTCCATGTTCTGATGAAGTCTCAGTCAGAAGGATCACATACAGAAGGATGGAAGATGACCTTCCTCTGTCAGCAGAAACACTTGACGGTGGAGTTAGAATCAATCCTCATTCTCTCAATTTACATAACAATAGAAAGAGAAATACAAGGCATTTTAGCCACCAGATGTCACTCAGACTTTTGTTCAACCTGTCAAAGGAGATCAGCTAGAAGCAGGGAATCTTTTCCTCAGAGAGATAATTAATATCTCCTTTGAAGAAAACAACCTACCACTTACCTGAAAATACACAGTAAAATGACCATCAGTCAAAAAGTCATCAACTCACTTTCTAACAAATTATAGGCCAGCTTGTAACTTAATTTTCTTTATGTAAAATGTATTACTAGCATTAGTCAGTATTACTAAGAGATGGCCAGCTTCTTCTAGTGGCAGAGGAAGGGCACGTGTTCTCAAATTGCTGAATCCCTCTGGAGCATACAACCATTTAAATTACTGTAAGTAGAAATACTTGGGAAATTTGCACAACTAGTTTTGCATCTATTAAAGGCACTGTATAACTGGAAAGGAATAATGGTTTTTTGAAAGATATCTTCAGTTCCACAAACTCTTATCTTTGAAAGCATGCTGCATACCACAAAGTAAAAGATAGTATCATTCAACATTTTGTTTCACTGCTTCCAAAATATCCCAGTAAAATAGCCTTCTTCCTGTTAATCCTCTACAAACCCAAAACTTTGGTAAGGCCAGAATTGTTCCAGATGCTACAACAAGAAGAAACAAAATGAAACAACGTAACTAACCCTTTACAATAATCCACACAGTATGCATCTCAAACCACACACTTACATGATAAACATGGTATTTCAGTTGTTAATTAATTTATAAGTATGAAAGCCATAAGCAAATTTCACAAGTTAACATTTATCTGATTACCATAATAACCTGTTCCTAAAAAAGTCTCCTGGATTGTCTCCTCTTTTCTGAGGGGGGTGGGAAGAGGAGAAGGGAAATAGGGAAGTAAATTAAAGGAAGAGTGAAAAACTTGAAAATTCGGCTTAGCTATAATGTAGCTTTTGGCCACTGCTTAGTACGGATATTTTCAGTCTCTGAACTTACCCTCAAATCTAACTGTGAAGAAAGTTAATTCAACAGTATGCAGTACCCACCAAATACGGTTGTAAATTTTTAGGGAAGGAGGGTGATGGGGAGGTTGAACATATGGATGCAGTTAAGGTAAAAACAGATGTTTGTTACTTTTCTTTGCAGTAACACTCAGAAACTAAGTCAAAATTGCCTTTTTTTCATGTTTATGTCTGAAAGAACTATAAAATTAAATATGAGGGAGGGTGGGTGGAGGGGGAACTGCAGTGAGTGTCACAGAGACAGAATGAAACGGTCTCCAGTTTTGAACTCAAATCCTGAAATGAAGGCCCATATAGTTAAAAGGCAAGACATACAGCATTTAACTCTAGATTTAAAGACCCTTAAATAGACTAGCTCAGAGTTGCTTTCATCATGCCTGCTCAGACACAAAACACCAAATTGTCTGAAGAGCCTAACAGCACAGCACACCCATGTTAAAATGCACACCTCAATCTGAACGGACGACAAGCTACAACCTTATTGTTT